AAAATTATATATATAATATATATAATATATATAAAATTATATATATAATATATATAATATATATAAAATTATATTCTAAAGCATCCAGAATTTATTACCCATTCTCAGTGGGAAAGTGCCCAAGCAACAATGCTCAAAACGTTGCCCTGTGTATCATCAGCCTAAGACACTCTCACTCATCAGTAACACAGTGAATGCATAGAAAACTAAATATAGTGTCTAACTGACCTTGGTATTACGTTGACGGGACTTGATACTAGTCTCCACGCACAGATAGAACGCAGCGATGCATTTCCCCTCCAGACGTGTGCCGTCCAGCAGGGGCAGTAAGTGCTGCAGGTCTGCAGCCGTACGGCCCTGCATGCTGTCTGCGCTGTCCAACAAGTTGCGTGCAAACTCTTCAGGGTCCAACGAGGCGATGAAGGGCTCCACCAGCTCCAGAGTACCAGACTTTACCACTTCTTTCTCTATCTCCCTATTAGCCGCCAGCACAGCCACGGCCAGACATGCATGGAAGCGGATGAGCTCGTCCTCTTTGGAGAACGCCAGCGGGAACAGCCATTCAGCCGCCTGTTTTTCGATCATCAGCCGCTGGCACCGGTGCCCACCGTACATGGCGCAGTTTGCCAGGGCCACGGCGCAGTGCCGCAGTACAGTTGGGTCTGTTCCACGGCACCAGTACAGGAGGGTGTCCAGTGCTCCGTTAGTGATGAGCTGCGCAGATGTCTCCTCTGTGTGTTTAAACATGTGCTCAAGGATGCCCGACACGCTCCTTGCCAGCTGGGCATCCTCCTGCTCACGGGTCAGGTTCAGGATGACCCCAAGCCCCATACGTGCCACATAGTCCCTGCAGAAAAATACAAAAACAAGCATTTAAAAGAATTCGGATGCATATAAGCCTTTTATCCAACAAATATTCTATATACTAATATTAAATAAATTATTACATAATATCAAACCAAATGGCACCTGCAAATAAATCACACAAGACACTTAGTCCCAATATGATTTTTAGTGGATTTATTAGTGGCTGTAGGGCAGATGTATACACCCCCCTACAGCTGTGGCATAACTACGGTGAATATATTACTCTGTCAGATGAAAGCAAAACAAGTTTGATATAGCTTTTCAGTCACTTTGAACTTATTTTTTGTGCTGTTTTTGGTATTTATCTATCTATCTGTCTACCTGTCTATCTATCTGTCTTTCACACTATTCCTTTTAGGACAAATGCAGGACAGGACTGGGACTAAAAATTCAGCCCTGACTATAACAATATTAATTGACAGTTAAGCACTGATTTTGAGTTAGGATGCAAAGAAGTAAATTTACTGCTATAAGCAACAATAAAATCTGTAAAAAGTTAAAATAGAATTGCAGGGCTATGTTTAATTCTGATTTTTTTTTATTAATTCAGACTTTTCCTAAAATTAAAGTTTATTAGAACGGAACATATTTACAGAGAAAAAAAAGTCGTAGCTTCATCCTTAATTTGTGTTCATCAGTCACTCTCAAATTCCGGCTTCTCATATAGACTGTCCACTGTAAATGCGCAAATGATTGACATGCAGCAGAAAGTGCTTCAAAGGCCTTCTGGTTAGTTCAAAGGACCACAAAACTAGTCATAAGGGTCAGTTTTTTGAAATTGAGATTTATACATCATCTGAAAGCTTAATAAATAAGCTTTCCATTGATGTATGTTTTGTTAGGACAATATTTGGTTGAGATACAACTATTTGAAAATCTGGAATCTGAGGGTGCAAAAAATCTAAATACTGAGAAAATCGCCTTTAAAGCTGTCCAAATAAAGTTCTTAGCCATGCATATTACTAATCAAAAATGAAGTTTTTATATATTTACGGTTGAGAATTTACAAAATATCTTCATGGAACATGATCTTTACTTAAAGCTGCAGTCCGTAACTTTTTTTGTGTTGAGAGAAGTCCTCTCTCATCCAACACTGTCGTCACTCCTCCTTTTATCCTTCCGGAGCTCCTCCATGGGACTTGAGACCGGTGAGTGGCACAGGTGTCACTCATTATCATGTAATTTTAGAGGTTTATGTAAAATATCATGCTTTCCTTTGGCTCACCGGTTCCTGTACAGTTTGGAAAAGTATGGAATTTCACAAGTAATTTGCAGGTCTGGAAAACAAAAGTCTTAAAATCCTTTCTATCTTTTATATCAACATCATTTAACAAAACATTTTTTTAAATGTCTGTTTATTGGATTCAAGATTGCCTGGCAATAGTCTCAGAAAACCTGCTGAAATTGTGTCAAATATGATGCTATACTCCCATGATGATACTGGAATACCAAATTTCATTAAAAATGTGATATATGTCAACAGTCAGCCCTTATCATCCATTAATTGTGATAGCAACAGAATATAATTTTTAACCCATTTGTCATATAAGACTGATTTATTCTTGAATTTAAATTTTTTTACTTATGACTGGTTTTGTGGTCCAGGGTCACATATGATATCACAGGACAGTTATTTTAAGTATATTTTTCAGGGAGTATGATTATTTTCTGCATACAATTCCATGCTTAAATGGATTATTACACCTTTAATTTTTATATTCTTTTACAAAAAAAAAACATATTCTTAAGAAAAAATATATACTGTTTTTTTTAACAGTATATCTAATTTCTTATCAATTTAAACCAAATAAACTGTATGTAAAATGCTTGTGCCACTTTGTTTGACATTATGACTAATACAATGACATTCATTCGTTTTTAACTGTGACTTGCTTGTCCAAACACTTTTAGGGCCTACGAACAACACAGTTTATCAAGAATGTTCCTCACCTGTTTTCTGAGACCAAAATCTGCTCAAGGAGCTTGGCAGACTCGTATGTGATTTCTACAGCCGGTGTCTGCAGCAGCAGCAAGAGCAGCTCCAGACCCCCGTCCAGCCGGATCCTGTTGCAGATCTCCTCCGCTACCTGTCGGCCCACTGTGGGCAGGACCCAGGCCTCCTCGACGAGCTGGAAAGTCTCAGCAATGGCTCGGCGGGTCTCCTCCACATCTCCAGTGTCTTTTGAAGACTTGAGTGTTTTGATGGCGGAGCGCAGCGCGGGGAGAGAGCCGTCCAACACGGCCTGGACGTCGGTGCTGATCCCCGGAGACACAGCCTTGGGGCCAGAGCTCGTCCTCCGGTTGTGTAGCCGATTACTGACATATTCAGGAACCGTGAGTCTGTCGGTGCTAAACATTGAGAAATAACGGCAAAACTTGCTGAGATAAACGACAAGAGACAAAAACATCTACCGTTACCAGCTGTGTCTCTGTTATAACAACAGTTCTGATGTTTCTTTGTCTTTCAGGCGTGACAAAGAAATTATGGCGTCGCCGTCATTACCAAGCAAATCATTAATGTCTAATGCGTGGGAAACAGTTCAGTTCATTAGCAGCGGCCGTTTACACCAAACCACATTATCCTGCTGATGTCAGAGAAAAATAATAAACACAAATGACGTCAGAGCACTGGTTAAGATAAGTTTTAAGAATCCACTGTTAGAAAGGACCCATCAAAAACCATCAAATAACAAGATAACGCTGTCAGGATGGCTTGATGTTTTAAGAAAATTAGACAGTAGCCGGCTGGTATCGCTGTATACTGGCACTCGATTAAGTTTTGTCAGACAAAGACGACTATTTCCACTGTCCTTTTAGCGAATAAGCGATGCTTATTTATTAAAATAAAACACTGTGATGCCGTTATATTTGAAATAAAGTCAAGATCGTTGATAATGAATCCTCAAGCATCCTCAGCGTCCGTTTATAGACCCGCCCAGTAGTGTATCTCACAAGCCAGAAGCGGAGAATCAACCTCAGCACCAGTGCCACTTTAGTTCAATGCCCTCTGGTGGACAACGACTGAATGCAAAGTAAGCTTTTTTTGGTACAATGTTTATTGTATTTCTGCCTAAATACCACATCCGCAATATATTTTAATAAAAAGTAAATATTTTAAAGTTAGTTTTAGCCAAAGTTAAAAATGAGGACAAAATCTCTTTAAAATTTTAATTAAATTGCCAGAAAAAGTCTGTAAGCTTCTTGAGATGCTTTTAACGAGATGCTATTTAACTGAATGGGTTTGTACTGCACGTCTTTTTAAAACCACTGGTAAATTTTGCTCAATTTACTAATTTTAGCAACGTTTCACACGAAATTTTGAAAGGGTGGGGGGTATCTCCTTAGTCCAGAGAGCACAGTGTAGGCTACTGTGCTAAAATGTTACGTCGAGTTGTTTAGCTAAAGACAACCAATCATAAAGTGGCTCACTAATAACCTCATTAAATATTTATGAGGTTTGCACAGCCGCAGCAGGACGCGCCATTCAAACCATTATATATAGCTCAGTGATTCAAACGCAGTGTAGTCACATGAGAGAAGAAGACGGCGTTTTTATTATTATTCGCCGATTTGCGTGGCGACACAGGCAAGTAGGCTACAATCAGTGTTATTTTACGTGTTCGAAAGGAACAAATAAGCAAGAAATAGGCTATGCAACTAAGAACGCTAAACTAGGATTTACAAATCTACATTTTGAAATCTCCCAGCTTGACTTATTCGTGTACAACGAATGTTTGTAAGCACTTGTGTAAGGTGATGTCTGTGTGTGGACGCTGACAGGTAACAGAATGGTGTTTATAGATCTAATTATTCACTTTTCACAGAGGTCAAAAGGGTTATTTTTCCCCTAAAGTTTAAGCAATACACTCCCACATTAGTTTAGTAAAGGACATCATGGTGGACTTTGTTAAACAGACTATATCTGACATTTTGAAAGTTGTAAACAAGCATTATTTCTTTATATACCTTTATATTGATCACTCAAAAAATAGTGTAGTCTAACCCAGAAATAAACTGAAACTGAACTGAATGACTAATGTTTCTTATTAATAAACTTAAAACAATGTAAAGTAGTAATAAAGTAGTGCTCATAAAGCAAACTTTTCAAATTTATATTATCAGATTGCAAAACAATTCATGTCTGGTTTTAATGATTACAGTTAAACAAAGATGAAAACATATTGCAAATAAGTTCAAGTAAACAAAAGTGGGTGAGTGACCTCTGAGTCTATTGATTCCTGTAGTCCTGATGGTCTCAGTTCTTCAGTCGCATTCACTGTGAGACGCCAGGATGAGGCTTTTTCTGCTGCTAGGACTGATTTCCTTCACATATGCAGCTGAAGGTAAGAACACTTACTTTTTTGCAATATTTTGATATATACTCTCTGTGTTATCTTGGAACTGTGCTCTTTTTTTTCCTATTAGAGTCATGTATTGAACGCTGTGAAAATGGGTTTGATGCCACCAAGAGCTGCCAGTGTGACTCTATGTGCACATACTACAAGAGCTGTTGCAAAGACTATGAATCCTTATGTCATATTAGGTGTAAATTTACCAGTTTGGTTTCTTACACTCCATTTAAACAAATCAAAACTAAACATGTGAAATGCAGTGAACAAAACAAGTGGATGAGAAACTGTTCTTGTTGCAGCTCGTGGAGACACCTTTCCTTCTTACCCTGAGGATGATTATGATGAGGAAGCAAACAGCACAGAGGCGCCAAACAGATCCAGATCACAGCACAAAATTTTGACCCCGTCTCCAGCGACTTTTGCTGAAATATTCATCCTATTAACACCAGGTTCACAAATCATGGATTCGACGTTAAGTGATAACCCAACACCAGAGATTGCCACTGCTGCCACTCCAACTACACAATTCAGACTAGCCTCCACCATTAAGAACCCAACCACAACTCCACACACAGCCTCAACTGCTGAAC